GCGTCAAGGCTAGTGCTGTGGGTCATGCAGTTTTCTGTGCCCAAAATGTCAGCAGACACCTCAGATGTAGATGGAACTAAAGATGGTGGCACATAACAGCAACACCACCGCCAGTAGGCATAACACAGTGGACATCAGAGATGGTGCAGGACACCCATGAGGAGCACGACTATTGCTGCCGTCAGTGCCAAAGTTGCACAGGACTTGACACTGTGAGCTGTGAGAAGTTTCACTGCACCTGGGAGGAGGACATGGAGCTACTTATGCATTGCTGTGACTAGTGAATAGGTAAAGAAAGGCCTGCTGCAGCAGTCGCACGTCCCACTTCAGTCTTCTAACCCAACGTGCCCCAGGAGAAGAAGGCCACCCCCAGTCTGGTTTGAAGACTCTGTGGCCCTCAGGGGGTGAGGACTTTTGTTGGCAGGGGCTAGTGTAACGTGGTTGAGGAGTTCATGTTTGTCTGGGGTTTGCTCTGCTGGGGACTCCTGTTGTGAAGAGTGGCATTGAGAGCTGCCATGTATGGGGCTGTTTGTGCTTCAACACGGGATGAACTGGGAAGTGGAGAGCTAGGAGCTGAGCAGTGCGGATGTGCCATGGCCTCTTCCCACTTTTTGTGGAAGGCCTAAACCTAGCTATGCTTAAACTAGTTGTTAGACAGAAGCCTTGCTTGTTTGTACGGCTTGGCCGATACAGCTTCAATAAAGCACACGGCTTGTACTGGTTTTCCCTTTTCCTAAGTAATAGGAGAATGCTACAGTGTTATATTTGCTCCTCTAACACTTTTAATATTACAGTCTGTATAATCAATAATTATGTATTAAATCAAGCAAGCAAAGTTTATTTATATAACACTTTTTACAACAGGTGTTGTCACAAAGCAGCTTTACAAGGAAATCAGCATTACAGAAAGAAATCTGTGTCTGAGCCCCCATGAGCGTCGCCAGTGGCGACAGTGGCAAGGAAAAACTCCCTAAGAGAAACAGGAAGAAACCCTGAGAGGAACCAAGACTCAGAAGGGGAACCCATCCTCCTCTGGTCAACGCCAGATAGTAAACATTGTTAGTATAAAAATGGGGAAAACAGGTGGAGCAAATGATTAATTTGATTAGTTTAGTTCATGCAGCAGCAGCAGCAGCAGCAGCATCAGCAGCAGTGGGGTCAGGTTGTGAGGGTGAGGTTTGCACAGCGTTGTACAGCAGGAAGTTAAATGGTGGTCAAGCCGGTCCAGAGGGCTGGCGAGCAGTGGCACCCGATCAAGGCAGAAGAGGCAGCAACACCAGACGCACAGGATGGGCAGCTGTTCAACTCGGCAAAGGAAAGAAAGAAAGGAGAAACACACAGAGTCAGTTCTGTAATGAGTGACTGACAGAACTGAGAGTCAGTTCTGTAATGGGTGTCAGTTCTGTAATGGGTGACCGATCACAGATTAAAGTGTTAGCAGAGCAGCGGAGACTCTGGCAGGTATAGAACTGACAGGGAAAACTAATTACCAAAGGTTTGACTATACAAGTAGGTTTTTAGCCTAGACTTAAACACTGAGGCTGTGTCTGAGTCCCGAACATTAACAGGAAGACTATTCCAAAGCCGGGGGGCTTTGTATGAGAAAGCTCTCCCCCCTGATGTAGCTTTATTAATTCTGGGTACTAATAGTGAGCAGCACCTTGTGATCTAAGTAGGCGTGATGGTTCATAGTGGGAGAGAAGTTCCCTCAGGTACTGAGGGGCGAGTCCGTTTACAGCTTTATAAGTCAGTAAGAGAATTTTATAATTGATGTGAAATTTAACTGGTAACCAGTGTAAGGTTGATAAAACTGGGCTGATATGGTCGAACTTTCTGGTTCTAGTAAGAACTCTGGCTGCAGCATTCTGGACTAGCTGAAGCTCGTTAAGGCTTTTGCTGGGACATCCAGCCAGCAGGGCATTACAGTAATCTAGCCTTGAAGTAATAAATGCATGAGCTAACTTTTCTGCATCCTGTAGAGAGAATGCATTTCTCAATTTAGCAATATTGCGAAGATGCAGGAAGGCTGTTCTAGTAATATTAGTTATATGTGTGTCGAAGGACAGATCAGGGTCTATAATGACACCAAGGCTTTTTACAGATGAGCTTGATGCAACTGAGAAATTGTTAAGTTTAAGTGTTAAATTAGACAGTTTGTTTCTAGCTGCTTTTGGACCAAGAAGTAGAACCTCTGCTTTATCCGGGTTTAGAAGGAGAAAGTTACTCAACATCCAGTCTTTTATGTCTTTTATACAGTCCTCAATCTTGCCAAGTTTAATTTTATCATCCGGTTCGCTTGCTAAGTATAACTGAGTGTCATCGGCATAGCAGTGGAAGTTTATGCTGTGTTTACTGATAATGGTGCCCAGTGGTAGCATATATAATGTGAATAATACAGGTCCTAAAACAGAGCCTTGTGGAACACCATACTTTACTTTTGTGAGAACAGATGATTCACCGTTTATATTCACAAACTGATAGCGATCAGTGAGGCAGGACCTGAACCAGGAAAGAGCTGTTCCTGTTACCCCTACAAGGTTTTCTAGTCTGTCTAGTAAGATAGTGTGGTCTATTGTGTCAGATGCTGCACTAAGATCGAGGAGGACTAACAAGGACACATGATCTTGGTCAGAAAATAATAATAGATCATTTACAATTTTTACTAGTGCTGTCTCTGTACTATGATGTGGCCTAAAGCCAGATTGAAATTTTTCATGTATATCATATGCAAATAGGAGCTTAATTGTTTTGCCACAATTTTTTCCAGGATCTTAGATATAAAGGGGAGATTTGAGCTGGGTCTATAACTTGATAGTTTGCAGGGATCAAGGTTAGCTTTCTTAATTAGTGGTCTAATTACTGCTAGTTTAAGAGATTTTGGGATGCACCCAAGGCTAAGAGAGGAGTTTATTATTGACAGAATAGGTTTGGTTATTTCTGGCAAAATTTCCTTGAGTAAACCTGTATGAATCAGATCTAACGTACAAGTAGATGATTTTGCGGAAGAAACAATTTTAACTAGTTCGTTTTCTTGGAGTAAGGTAAAGGATTCCAGCTTCTCTGCAGGGATTATAATATTCTCAAGATTGAGGTTGGCATTAAGGGGAAGCAGGTTTGTAGAGTTTAATTGTGTTTCTGAATTTTCTGCCTAATTTTTTCAATTTTATTACTAAAGAAGTTCATAAAATCGTTGCTGCTATAGGCTGATGGCATCTGGGGTTCACTAACTGTTTTGTTCTCTGTTAGTTTAGAGATTGTGCTGAAAAGTAATCTAGGATTATTCTTATTGTTTTCTATGAGAGAGGAGAGAGAGGCTGAGCGTGCTGTAGCAAGTGCTCTTCTATACTCTATAGAAGAGGCTCTCCTTCCAGGCGGACTGGAACATTTCTAGCTTAGTCAGGCGCCATTTTCACTCTAGTTGTCTGGCGTTCTGTTTTAAAGCCAGAGTGTGGTCATTATACCAAGGGGCAGTTTTTTCTGCCTTACTGTTTTACTTTTCAATGGGGCCACACTATCTAGAGTAGATCGAAAACTATCCTCTAAGAGCTTGGTCATAATATCTAACTCGGTAGGATTAGATGGACAGCTGACAGAAGTTGATGAGGAAGGTTTCTAATAAAGCTACCAGCTGTGGAGGAAGTTATAGTCCGCTTAACATGATGAACGCACATTACCACTGAAGTGAATTTTGTATGAGATTAAGTAATGATCTGAGACTGCTGTGCTCTGGGGGAGAATGGCTAAGTTATCTATGTCCACACCAAAGGTCAGTATTAAGTCTAGAGTGTGGTTGTGGTAGTGTGTGGGCTCCTTTATGATTTGGGTGAAACCTATGGAGTCTATGATAGATATAAATGCCTTGCTTAGTGCATTTTGAGGATTATTAAGTGACAAAACTGTACTTAATTAGTCTAAAAAACTGGATAAAATCAATGTTTACATCATTGTAGAACTGTAAAAACTGTAGAACTGTAAAAAGACTTGTACATTTACAATTCTGTTTACTTGCACACCAGCATAGTCTAGCTTTACAACATGAAAATTGAAGACATGAAGGCATGAATATGATGTGCCAATAAAATGCACAACAGCTTCAGAGTGTCATGAAATAAAGGCCTTGATAAAGATAATTATTACTCTGCATGGTAGAGTAACATTTTACTTTATTTTTAGCTTTGCATGTATCCAATTAAATCTGAATTCTGCTAAAGGATCTTTCTCTATCTTGTCCTCTGTGGATTAGTAGAGATAATGAAAGGAGAACAATGAGGCAAAGCTACACAGAGACCCATGTCATTTCTTTAGCTAAGTGTTTCTGGCTCTGTCTTGAGAGGAAAGAAACATTAAAGGAGATCCCATCCTACTCTGAAAAACACCAGATCTCAAAACAATATTGCAACAAGAGCAATAAGAGTTAAATTATAGTAAAGAAAAAGATGATGATTATTCAAAATGAATGATGAGAAAAAGCAAACCAAATTGAATGTAATCAAAGGGCATAATGGGCTTCATGCACCAACCGTTCTTACGAAGAAATTTCTTTTTAAAACCCACTTACACAGTTTTCATAGGTTCTGACATTCACCAATGTTTATGTGGGATTTGTTCTTAGCTAAGAACAGAATCTACACACACTCAAGAGCACAGAGGTGTGAACAGTTCTATGCTTTAAGAACACGTCATGAATCTGATGTAGACTTTTTCCAGGACCTCGTTCAAGAACAAATTAAAGAAAAAACTTGGGAGTATACTGGTGAATGAGGCTCAGTGTGGAGATTGACCATCAGAGAATGAGAATTAACTCCACATAGTACTGAAAACTGTGTCTGCATGAAAACATGTTTTAGACACTGCCTTATAACTTTGTCTATGTAGTAGTGCCAGAAGCCTGATGTTATGTTTTATGTCATAAATATTTGCCCATTAGTGCAAATTAAATAATTACTGCTGATCCTAAAATGAATGCCCTGGGTTTTGTTCAGAACTGGACTGTCACTTACCTTGAGCTGCTGTCAACTCAGCAGTCCGAGTGTGTCCATTCTCAGTGAAGTTCTGACTCCGCTGCACCCTCCGAGTGCATCTGTTCTCACTGAAGTTATGACTCAATGTAGCAGGTTGAGAGCGTCTATTCTCAGTGAAGTTATGACTCAGTGTAGCAGGTTGAGAGCGTCTATTCTCAGTGAAGTTATAACTCAGTGTAGCAGGTTGAGAGCGTCTATTCTCAGTGAAGTTATGACTCAGTGTAGCAGGTTGAGAGCATCTATTCTCACTGAAGTTATAACTCAGTGTAGCAGGTTGAGAGCGTCTATTCTCAGTGAAGTTATGACTCAGTGTAGCAGGTTGAGAGCGTCTATTCTCAGTGAAGTTATGACTCAGTGTAGCAGGTTGAGAGCGTCTATTCTCAGTGAAGTTATGACTCAGTGTAGCAGGTTGAGAGCGTCTATTCTCAGTGAAGTTATGACTCAGTGTAGCAGGTTGAGAGCATCTATTCTCAGTGAAGTTATGACTCAGTGTAGCAGGTTGAGAGCGTCTATTCTCACTGAAGTTATAACTCAGTGTAGCAGGTTGAGAGCGTCTATTCTCAGTGAAGTTATGACTCAGTGTAGCAGGTTGAGAGCGTCTATTCTCAGTGAAGTTATGACTCAGTGTAGCAGGTTGAGAGCGTCTATTCTCAGTGAAGTTATGACTCAGTGTAGCAGGTTGAGAGCGTCTATTCTCAGTGAAGTTATAACTCAGTGTAGCAGGTTGAGAGCGTCTATTCTCAGTGAAGTTATAACTCAGTGTAGCACGTTGAGAGCGTCTATTCTCAGTGAAGTTATGACTCAGTGTAGCAGGTTGAGAGCGTCTATTCTCAGTGAAGTTATGACTCAGTGTAGCAGGTTGAGAGCGTCTATTCTCAGTGAAGTTATGACTCAGTGTAGCAGGTTGAGAGCGTCTATTCTCAGTGAAGTTATGACTCAGTGTAGCAGGTTGAGAGCGTCTATTCTCAGTGAAGTTATGACTCAGTGTAGCAGGTTGAGAGCGTCTATTCTCAGTGAAGTTATGACTCAGTGTAGCAGGTTGAGAGCGTCTATTCTTACTCAAGTTATGACTCTGCCGGACCATCTGCATGTGTACATGCTCGGTGAAGCTCTGAATTCGCTTGAACATCGAAGTGCTTTCATCCTCAGTGAAGCACTGACTCAACTCAGCAGTCCGAGTGTGTCCATTCTCAGTCTCACTGTACTCAGTGAAGTTCTGACTCAGTTTAGTAGTCTGGGGGTGTCCATTCTCACTGAAGTTATGACTCAGTGTAGCAGGTTGAGAGCGTCCATTCTCACTGAAGTTATGACTCAGTGTAGCAGGTTGAGAGCGTCCATTCTCAGTGAAGTTATGACTCAGTGTAGCAGGTTGAGAGCGTCTATTCTCAGTGAAGTTATGACTCAGTGTAGCAGGTTGAGAGCGTCTATTCTCAGTGAAGTTATAACTCAGTGTAGCAGGTTGAGAGCGTCTATTCTCAGTGAAGTTATGACTCAGTGTAGCAGGTTGAGAGCGTCCGTTCTCAGTGAAGTTATGACTCAGTGTAGCAGGTTGAGAGCGTCTATTCTCAGTGAAGTTATGACTCAGTGTAGCAGGTTGAGAGCGTCTATTCTCAGTGAAGTTATAACTCAGTGTAGCAGGTTGAGAGCGTCCGTTCTCAGTGAAGTTATGACTCAGTGTAGCAGGTTGAGAGCGTCTATTCTCAGTGAAGTTATGACTCAGTGTAGCAGGTTGAGAGCGTCTATTCTCAGTGAAGTTATAACTCAGTGTAGCAGGTTGAGAGCGTCTATTCTCAGTGAAGTTATGACTCAGTGTAGCAGGTTGAGAGCGTCTATTCTCAGTGAAGTTATGACTCAGTGTAGCAGGTTGAGAGCGTCTATTCTTACTCAAGTTATGACTCAGTGTAGCAGGTTGAGAGCGTCTATTCTTACTCAAGTTATGACTCTGCCGGACCATCTGCATGTGTACATGCTCGGTGAAGCTCTGAATTCGCTGGAACATCGAAGTGCTTTCATCCTCAGTGAAGCACTGACTCAACTCAGCAGTCCGAGTGTGTCCATTCTCAGTGAAGTTCTGACTCCGCTGCACCCTCCGAGTGTGTCCATTCTCAGTGAAGTTCTGACTCCGCTGCACCCTCCGAGTGTGTCCATTCTCAGTGAAGTTCTGACTCCGCTGCACCCTCCGGGTGTGTCCATTCTCGGTTAAGTTCTGACTCCGCTGCACCCTCCGAGTGTGTCCATTCTCAGTTAAGTTCTGACTCCGCTGCACCCTCCGAGTGTGTCCATTCTCGGTTAAGTTCTGACTCCGCTGCACCCTCCGGGTGTGTCCATTCTCGGTTAAGTTCTGACTCCGCTGCACCCTCCGAGTGTGTCCATTCTCAGTTAAGTTCTGACTCCGCTGCACCCTCCGAGTGTGTCCATTCTCAGTTAAGTTCTGACTCCGCTGCACCCTCCGGGTGTGTCCATTCTCGGTTAAGTTCTGACTCCGCTGCACCCTCCGAGTGTGTCCATTCTCGGTTAAGTTCTGACTCCGCTGCACCCTCCGAGTGTGTCCATTCTCAGTGAAGTTCTGACTCCGCTGCACCCTCCGAGTGTGTCCATTCTCAGTTAAGTTCTGACTCCGCTGCACCCTCCGAGTGTGTCCATTCTCAGTGAAGTTCTGACTCCGCTGCACCCTCTGAGTTTGTCCATTCTCAGTGAAGTTCTGACTCCGCTGCACCCTCCGGGTGTGTCCATTCTCGGTTAAGTTCTGACTCCGCTGCACCCTCCGGGTGTGTCCATTCTCGGTTAAGTTCTGACTCCGCTGCACCCTCCGAGTTTGTCCATTCTCAGTTAAGTTCTGACTCCGCTGCACCCTCCGAGTGTGTCCATTCTCAGTTAAGTTCTGACTCCGCTGCACCCTCCGAGTGTGTCCATTCTCAGTCTCACTGTACTCAGTGAAGTTCTGACTCAGTTTAGTAGTCTGGGGGTGTCCATACTCAGTGAAGCTCTGACTCCGCCGGGCCATTTGAGCATGTCCATTGTCAATAAAGCTCTGACTCAGCTCAGTGATGCTCTTACTCAGCTCAGCGGTCTGAGTACATCCATTCTCTGTGACATTCTGTCTCCGCTGGACCATGCAAGTGCGTCCATTCTCAGTGATGTTCTGACTTTGCCGGACCATCTGAGTGTGTGCATTGTCAGTGAAGTTATCACTCAGTAAAGCAGGTTGAGTGCGTCTATTCTCAGTGATGTTCTGACTTTGCCGGACCATCTGAGTGTTTCCATTCTCAGTGAAGTTCTGACGCCCATCAGCAGTTTGAGTACATCCATTCTCAGTGACACTCTGACTCAGAATAGCAGGTCGAGTGTGTCCATTCTCAGTGAAGCTCTGACCCTGCTGGACCATCCGAGTGCGTCCATTCTCAGTGAAGCTCTGACCCTGCTGGACCATCCGAGTGCGTCCATTCTCAGTGAAGGTCTGACTCAGCTCAGCAGTCTGAATCCTTCCATTCCCAGTTAAGTTCTGACTCAGCTCAGCAGTCTCAATGCTTGCATTCCCAGTAAAGTTTTGAGTCAGTTGATCACTATGAGTGAAGTTCTGATTTTCTTCTAATAGAAAGAAGCAGTAGAGACATTATTAGCACAACAGGCCTTTAACAAACAAAATGCAGCAAGTTTCAGACATAATTAGTACATATTTGGCCCAAAAAATATGTTATGAATCAAACTGGCATACGAGTATAAAAACTAAGTTTAGGTGGCATGTGCATTGAAAAACACAAAATACATTTTTTCTGACTTTTGAATCTGTATAACCTTTAAAGATGTATTTTAGTACAGATTACCTGTTAAAAAATCAATTGCAAACAAATCCAAAAGAATTACTATATCAAAGTAATGTAATCCATTCACTTTCCATTGCTTTTGGATTACTTGTCTTTGTAAAGTTGTGTGTCATTCTACAATTTGGGGTACATTTCACATTAACAAGAAGTACAAAAACAATGTTACCTCTCATAAGAACAATCAGTGGTTTAAGTTAGTATATTCCTTCAGTGTAACTTATTTACTAGTTGCAAAGCTTAAACATTAACATTTTCTTTTACTTTTAAAGGGGAAGAATGTTTTCACTAATCAGTTTGTCAACTGTTACGCACTAATTGTATGTGATTACAGTCACTGATTAAATCCTGCACTTCAAAGTGTTGACAGAGATCATTTGTAGGTCTTCTTCCTCCTCTTGTCAGCCTGCCCCTGCCCCCACTGCTGTTCTTAAATCTTGTCTCTCTGCTATTTCTTCTCCTATAGCTCATCTTGTTAATCAGTGTTTTTCCTCAGGCTCTGTCCCAACTTCTCTCAAAATAGCTGCTGTGTCTTCCATTCTTAAGAAACCTGGGTTAGATACTTAATTACTTTCCAATTACAGACCAATCTCAAATCTCCCTTTTTTGTCTGAAGTAATGGTAAGAGTTGTGGCCTCTCAGCTTCAGGATTTTCTCAGCAGAAATAATCTATGTGAGCCTTTCCAGTCTGGCTTTTGCAACTTGCACAGTACTGAGACTGCCCTGTTAAGAGTGGCTGATGATCGTTTAATGTCTGCTGATGCTGGTTTTCTTAATATCCTTATCCTCCTTGACCTCACTGCAGCCTTTGACATGGTGAATCATGATATACTTATTTCTAGGCTTTCATCCATAGGCATTTCAGGCTTAGCTCTTGCTTGGTTCCGCTCCTATCTTACTAACAGGCAACAGTTTATCTCTATTGGTTCATAGAGGTCATCCACTGCTCCAGTTGCTCAGGGAGTGCCCCAAGGCTATACCAGCTATTGAGGATAACTTGTTATTTGCCACAAACACTGAACTAAGCTCTTTAACAACTTTTAAAAACATTTTTGAGTCCAGTGACAATATATTGCACTGAAAAGGTTAATATGTGTTCAAAGATTACAATTACTTTCTCCAGCATTCAACTTCATAAACATTAGATGTTGTGTATAATCATAGAGCATCTGAGCCTAAGACTGAAGCACATTAAAAACTCTTCTGCAGTGAACATCTAACACCTTGGGATGGGCTCTGAATGAGTTGAGGTTACACAAGTAGAGCTTTTACCTTAATAACTAAGCAGGCTCCTTTATAGTGTCACAAGTGAAAAAATCTTATGCTCAAGTTATTTGTTGTTGTTTCTCTTTGCAAGATTAAAGAGTAGCGGACCTAAAACTGGGGGCCACCTTTAGTAAGAAACACAGTGAGGGATTTTTGATTCTGAATGGCTACATACTATCTTCGGTCACTAAAATAAGAGGAAAACCAAGAAAGAGCAGATTCCATAATGCCAACTTTAAGCATATGAGAGAGTAATAAATCATAAGATATGTGTCAAAGGCAGAACTAAGATAGAGGAGCAGCAGTATACTAAGAGCTCCTGAATCAGCAGCAACAAGAGATGCCATTAGTAACCCTAGAAACTGCATTCTTAACTATGCAGTGGACAGAAACCATCTCTGTACCTAGAAATATGATCTGCATAGGCCAGAGAGTGAATCTACCAGAGGCTTTCTTTCCAGGAGCTCAGTGGTAAACCATGGTAAAGACCAGGAGGTCGGCATCAGCCTAGGTTTAAAGGGTGCATGAGCATCTAAAGTATCCAAGATTGAATTATTTTATGCAAAGAGAATTTCATCAGAACAGGAGGGAGATATCAAGGAGAGGTGAAGTAAAAAGGGGAGCAGAGGAAGATAAAGGATCCATAGATTTCAACTTTCTTTACATCACAATGGTTTTCTTAGACCACCTAAAAAGATGAAAACTAAAACATATATATAGCTGTATAAGTAGCTAAAGCCAGGAGAGGCCAGTGAATATTTTTACGCAAAGAATAGGGATTTGTCTGAGTGTGTGGCATGCTCAGGGACACAGAAAGTAGGGGCACTGAAGAGGTCACCCCCTGATTTCAGGGCTGTAACTGCTAAAACAACAACAACAACAAAACAACATCAATAATAATAATAATAATGATGATAATAATAATAATAATAATAATAATAATATAATAGAGATCTTAACTTCTTTATAATTTGAGTGTAGCAAAGACTCATGTATGCTTGTTTTAGAGAGAAGTCTGTATTTTTCTATTTTTACTTGTATATTTTCAGCATCCCAAGTTCACAGTTGAGATGCTGTGCAAAATGTAAATGAAAACAAAATGCAATGATGTGCAAATCATTTAAATCCTATATTTCATTGAAAATAGTACAAAGACAATCAAATGTTGAAACCGAGAAATTGTTTTATGAACAATATTTGTCCATTTTGAATTTGACGCCAACAACACATTGAAAAATGTTGGGATGGGGGAAAAAAAAAAAAGTTGGGATGGGGGAAAAAAAGACTGGTAAAGTTGTCTAATGGTACACCTGGTGGTTGATTGGCTACAGGTCAGAAACATGACTGGGTATAAAGAGCATCTCAGAGAGGCTGAGTCTTTCAGAAGTAAAGATGAGGAGGGGTTCACCACTCTGTGAAAGACTGCATGATCAAATAATTTCTCAACATAAAATAGCAAATGACTTTTACATTTCATCATTTACACACATGCACATAATAACATTACATAATGTTACATGATAACATGTACATTATATCATTAAAAGATTCAGAGAATCTGGAGAAATCTCTGTATGTAAGGAACAAGGCCAAAAAACAGTATTTGTTGGCCGTGATGTTTGGGCCCTCAGACAGCACTGCATTAAAAACAGACATGATTCTGTAGTGGAAATCACTGCATGGGCTCAGAAACACTTCTGAAAAACACTGTCTGTGAAAACAGTTCATCACTACATCCACAAATGCAAGTTAAAACTCCTTCCGGGCTAAAGACCACTCAGCTTGTTATCAGTGCACTGTTCAAAGCCAGTATTCATGACGGTATAGGGGGGGCATTAGTGCACATGGCACGGGTGACGTGTACATCTGTGAAGGCACCATTAATGCTGAACGATATATACAGGTTTTGACATCATATGCTGCCATCCAGACAACGTCTTTTTCAGGGAAGGCCTTGATTATTTCAGCAAGACAACGTACAGCCACATTCTGCATGTATTACAACAGCATTGCTCCGTATTAAAAGAGTGTGGCTGCTAAACTAACCTGCCTGCAGTCCAGACCTGTCACCACTGAAAACATTTGATGCATTATGAAGTGTAAAATATGACAAGAAACCCTGAAATGATGAGCAGCTGAAATCCTGTATGAAACAAGAACGGGAAAACATTTCACTTCCTAAACTACAGCAGAGTCTCCTCAGTTCTCAAACACTTACAGAGTGCTGTTAAAAGAAGAGGTGATGAAACACAGTGGTAAACAGGCCCCCGTCCCAACTTTTTAGGAACGTGTTGTTGACGTCAAATTCAAAATGAACCTATATTTAAAAAAAAAAAAAAATTTCTCAGTTTCAACATGTGATATGTTGTCTTTGTACTATTTTTCTTTAAAAATATGGTTTACATGATGTGCACATCATTGTATTCTATTTTTATTTACATTCTGCAAAGCGTCCCAACCAGTTACCTAATATTTATTACCTAATGTGGCCTAATAATTTACTAAGATTTTTTGTTGTTTGTTTTTTTTTCTTTAATCTGTTCTTTGTCTGTATGCTAACCAATTGAGGAAATATATTTTGGAGGAAAAGTGTTCTATTCCTCCAGAAACTTGCAGAATCAATGTCAAAGTGTACCAAAACTGTTCTGGGGGCTCACTGTTGCTCAATACTTTACTAAGACACTTTGTTGGTTTTAATTTGGTCCTTTGATTTGTCACTTGTCTGTATGTTCACCATATTACTTAACTGCAAAAGTGTGGCATGGATGCAATATTGTGCTTGAACAGTAGTGATTCTCATTAAACCTAGTAGACTCATACCTATAATTCTGAAGTAACCTTCTTTGTTCTGGCCCACTTAGGGGTTCAGGCAAATAACTGTTCTGAGACACTATTAGTCTGATTAAGCCAAAGCATTGTAAACATTGTAATCTTTGATCTACCTTTTTCTGAACTTTGAAGACATTTTATTTTTTGTCGCACAGACAGTCATACATTTTGATATAAACCTAGATTATTTGGGGGCAGTCGTGGGCTGGAGTTTAGGGAACCAGCACTGTGACTGGAAGGTCGTCGATTTGATCCCCTGAGCCGACAGTACGTGACTGAAGGGCCCTTGAGCAATACACCTATCCCCCAACTGCTCCATGGGTGCTGTGGATAGGGCTGCCCACCGCTCCAGGCAAGTGTGCTCACTGCCCCCTCGTGTGTGTGTGCTCACTAGTGTGTATGTAGTGTTTCGCTGCACAGATGGGTTTAATGAGGAGGTGAAATTTCCCCGTTGTGGGACTAAAGGATAAAAAAATGACCATGTTAGCATGAATGGTAAGTTTTTGTTGAACATTTGACCAAACTTACTAACATAATTAGACAACTACACTTTGGGAAACACACCCCTGAATTTATGTCTAAAAAAACAATAAACACTTAATATAATAGTAAAAGTGGAGAGAACCAGAAGAAAACAGGTGGAGAAAGTGCAAAATAAAGAATTAGAGAGAAAGGAGGGTGGAGACATAGGCTAAACATGGACATGAGAGGACCCAAGGGCAGAGAACATAACATGAACAAACACAGACACGAGAGAGAGTTAAACAGCAAGAAAACATACGGAAGAGAGGACAACAAGAACAGAGAAAAGGCCCCAGCTGGGGAAAATGTTACAGTGGCCATATTTTTTTCATTATTTTGCTGTTTCTGTTTTCATATATTTCTAAGTTTTTTCTACCTTCATGAAAGTGTGGTGGTCTTTTTCCCAACAGTCTAGGCAGGAAGAGCCTATGAATGAAAGTGTTGATGTCTCACCTAGACCTGCTCTCTGTTCTGGAAGGTCATCACAAATAACCTTAGTTGGGTCCAGATAATCACCACCTCCTGAGAACAGTAATGCAGAACTAATGATATACAGTAGAAGACCAGATTTATAACAATGGTTATGGTTGGACACAGGAAAACAAACTAAAATATTATACATAAATACATCAATTTTGCTTGTCTGGAAATTAATAAATCAATTAATAAGTATTATTTTTGTGAGTGTGTTGTGTCCATCAAGACACAGGAAGGAAGTATACATACTAAAGTCTGGGAGGGAAAGGGTCTTAGAACCAAAACGTTCTTAAACACAGAAGAACAACCAAAAGTCATTAATGGTTCAGAGACATTATGTGCAGTGTTTTGTATCTGTGGCGCACGTCTGTTTTATTGTAAGTTGTATTGTACTACGTCTGGTACTTTTATACATGACAGAGTTTTTTCTCTTAGCGTTTGAATGGCCAATTAACAAACATGAAATACTTTACACACACATCAGCTTCTTTCCTAGAAACTGGTCTCTTTATGTTAAGCAGCTCTTAGTATTCACTTAGCCTATTCATTTATTTCCTGCAGAGGGTGTTTATAAGCTGTTACTACTTTGTACAATTGCTTTGAAGCATTTTTCAGTGCCAATGTCACTTTTTCAAAGCTCTCCACACTCCGCTGTGCAGAAACATGCAGGTTGGCACAACAAAAGTAATTTTATACTCAAAATCAGCACCTCAGAAACACTAGGAACTGATGGCATTAATGCAGATATACTACTTTGTGTCAATCTCTAAAGCAGTAAAGAATTAATTGCCTGGACTAACAACACCTGGGTAGGACTTCAACTGAGATGGGAAGCAGTAATATTTACATTAGCATCATGCAGACTTTGGATTCACCTGTAGAAAGGTGCATGAATATGCGGATAATGAGAAATAACGAGACCAGTTTCTCAATTTGCTTTCGCATTGCTGTTTGCATTAAAGAATTATTTGAAATCTCACCTTGAATTAGACTCAGTTCACGCAACTGAGAGTACTTGAAGTCCAGGAAATCATCATCATCATCAAGATCACCTGAGAGCAAAAGAAGACACATGTAATGCAGATGAACAGAACAAGTGAATCTACAATAAACACTTAATATAATAGTAAAAGTGGAGAGAACCAGAAGAAAACAGGTGGAGAAAGTGCAAAATAAAGAATTAGAGAGAAAGGAGGGTGGAGACATAGGCTAAACATGGACATGAGAGGACCCAAGGGCAGAGAACAGAACATGAACAAACACAGACACGAGAGAGAGTTACACAGCAAGAAAACATACGGAAGAGAGGACAACAAGAACAGAGAAAAGGCCCCAGCTGGGGAAAATGTTACAGTGGCCATTTTTTTTTCATTATTTTGCTGTTTCTGTTTTCATATATTTCTAAGTTTTTGCTACCTTCATGAAAGTGTGGTGGTCTTTTTCCCAACAGTCTAGGCAGGAAGAGCCTATGAATGAAAGTGTTGATGTCTCACCTAGACCTGCTCTCTGTTCTGGAAGGTCATCACAAATAACCTTAGTTGGGTCCAGATAATCACCACCTCCTGAGAACAGTAATGCAGAACTAATGATATACAGTAGAAGACCAGATTTATAACAATGGTTATGGTTGGAATATTATACATAAATACATCAATTTTGCTTGTCTGGAAATTAATAAATCAATTAATAAGTATTATTTTTGTGAGTGTGTTGTGTCCATCAAGACACAGGAAGGAAGTATACATACTAAAGTCTGGGAGGGAAAGGGTCTTAGAACCAAAACGTTCTTAAACACAGAAGAACAACCAAAAGTCATTAATGGTTCAGAGACATTATGTGCAGTGTTTTGTATCTGTGGCGCACGTCTGTTTTATTGTAAGTTGTATTGTACTACGTCTGGTACTTTTATACATGACAGAGTTTTTTCTCTTAGCGTTTGAATGGCCAATTAACAAACATGAAATACTTTACACACACATCAGCTTCTTTCCTAGAAACTGGTCTCTTTATGTTAAGCAGCTCTTAGTATTCACTTAGCCTATTCATTTATTTCCTGCAGAGGGTGTTTATAAGCTGTTACTACTTTGTACAATTGCTTTGAAGCATTTTTCAGTGCCAATGTCACTTTTTCAAAGCGCCCCACACTCCGCTATGCAGAAACATGCAGGTTGGCACAACAGACTTTGGATTCACCTGTAGAAAGGTGCATGAATATGCGGATAATGAGAAATAACTAGACTAGTTTCTCAATTTGCTTTTGCATTGCTGTAGCCTTCCAGAATTTGTTTGCATTAACGAATGATTTGAAATCTCACCTTGAAATAGACTCAGTTCACGTAACTGAGAGTACTTAATGAAGTCCAGGAAATCATCATCATCATCATCATCAAGATCACCTGAGAGCAAAAGAAGACACATGTAATGCTGATGAACAGAATAAGTGAATCTACAATATAGAAAACCAGATTGCACATGTACAGAAAATAAACTTAAATCTATACTTATCCGCATTTTGCATGTCTGGAAATACAAATACAACTAGTATGACATGATTAACTGTGTTGTGTCCATCAAATTAAAAGCAAGAAAAAAGGATACATACCAAAGTCTATCAGAGAAATGATCTTGGAACCAAAACGATCTTAAATACAAAAAAAACAACCAAACGTCATTCATGGTTCAAAGACACAATATGCAGTGTTTTGTATCCAGGGTTGGGATTATATCAGAGGTCTTGGGGGGGTTCCCTGGTGGAAAGTCTGACTGTGAGGGGACCTACAGTATGTAATGATGAAAACTATTTGTATAATATATCTTTGTGACATTTATCCCTATAGTTTGTTACAAGCATTACTATGTAGATTAATATCTGTTTCATTATAAAATGTTTTTACACTTAATGTAGGAATGGCAAAATAATGACACACTGCAGCATGCAGAAAATCCAAGCAGTGTTGAGGTCACCCAGCACCACCTTGCATCCACGCTGAATGTTGCACCTGGTTTTTTTTTGGACGCTGCATGACGTGGCATGTCTGATGTGTTGCGGCCTTAAATTAAAGCCAGAATGAGGTCATAAAAAGCAATAATTGACAATGTGACTTGAAATTATCACCGAGAAAGAAAGTAAAGACTTTTAGATAAACAGATGAATATTAATGGTCTGTTACCTCAGCCAATGCTACAACAAAAATGTTTTTTTGAATTTATTTCATTTAAATGTGGACATTGGTACTACATGAATAAAATGTATTACATCAACACGATTACTGTCATTCATTCTACTTAATTATGACAAGACTTGTGTTGATGTGGAATCAATGTACAATTGAATCATATAATTTCAAGGCAACACTTTTTTTTCAGTCTGGTCTTTTTCACCTCGTATCATAAAGTTGAAAACAGCCAGTTTGTGAAGAGTTAGGTAGTTGATGCCAAATATGATAAATTCATTAAATTATTTTAAAGGTTTTACTCCATTAAATTTGTAGTAAAAGAGCGTAAACAAGAAAATGTTTATCTGTGGTCTCACTGCAATGTTTTTATATGGCATAGCTGTGGTTTGTACTGTATCTGCTACAGAACAGTGCTGCAGTCTGGTGTGTGGTGGCCTTTAGAAGTTGATGTGAGAACATATGGCAGGTTTAATAGCCTGTCTTCTCAGTTAATTAACTAAAATATTAATTAGTTAGTAAAACATTGATGTAGTTAACAGCAGGCAAGTTTGCCGAAGATGCAGCAACCAAATGACCTCAGTAGCTACAGGCCGGTGGCACTGACGTCACATCTGATGAAGATGCTAGAGAGGCTGGTCATTGTATATCTCCGCCCTCTGGTGAGCTCATCTATGGACCCACTCCAGTTTGCCTATCAACTTGGCATTGGAGTGGATGACGCGGTCATCTACCTCCTACACAGAGCTCTTTCTCACCTGGACAGGCCTTTGAGCTCTGTGAGAATCATGTTCTCTGATTTCTCCAGTGCTTTTAACACCATACAGCCTAGGCTCCTGAGGGACAAGCTGGAGAACACAGGGGTGGATCACCACCTATCAGACTGGATTCTGGACTATCTCATCAACTGACCACAGTATGTGAGGGCACGGGACAGTGTGTCTGACATGGTGTTCAGCAGCACAGGGGCCCTGCAGGGAACAGTACTGGCACCGTTCCTCTTCACCCTGCACACTGCAGACTTCATGTACAGCTCACCAAACTGCCATCTACAGAAGTTCTTTGATGACTCAGCAATCATCGGACTCATTACGAATGAGGACGACGGAGAGTACAGAGAACTGACCCAGGACTTTGTGGTTTCTGTGGAACCAGCTCCTGATCAATAAGGGGAAGACTAAAGAGGTTGTGGGGCATTTTCACAGACTCAGTCACCTCCCTCCACAGTGAACATCCAGGGAAGGGACATTGAGAGAGTGGACTCTTATAAGTACCTGGGTTTTCACCTCAACAATAGACTGGATTGGTCAGAAAACACTAGTGCACTTCATAGGAAAGGCCAGAGCGGACTGTACCTGCTCAGAAGACTGAGGTCGTTTGGAGTGCAGGGGGCACTCCTGAGGATCTTCTTCGACACCATTGTGGCATCAGCCATCTCTTATGGAGTGGTCTGCTAGGGCAGCAGTATCTCAACTGCGGACAGGAAGAGGCTTGACAGACTCTTTAAGAGGGCCAGCTCTGTCCTGGGAAGCCCCCTAGACCCAGTGCAGGTGGTGGGAGACAGGAGGATGTTAGCTAAGCTAGCATCCATGCTGGAGAACAGCTCCCGCCCCATGCATGAGACTCTGGCAACACTGGGCAGCTCCTTCAGTGACCGGCTGCTTCACCCCAAGTGTGTGAAGGACGCTATTGCAGGTCCTTCCTTCCTGCTGCTGTTAGACTGTACAACCAGCACTGCTCCCAGTAGAACCTCCTCCACCCCCCATTAGACCTCACACACCTACAGAACATAAACTGTGGAATTTATCACCATTTCCTGTGTGCTATATAATCAACACTCCATGTGCAATATAATGTTAAATATCTCTATAGTGTAAATATTCTTGAGCTTTCTATTTATAATTGTTTATATTGTTAACTCCTCACCATCCCATGTTTGATATAAACCAGTAACTTGTGAATTTCAGGCAAAATATCCTTACAATGTAATTATCTTAGCTTTTTTATTTATTTATAATTCTTTATTTTGTTATTTTTTTGTGAAAGAGTTTATATATTTTATCTTATTTTTTATGTTTAGTTTTAATATATATTGTCATTGTTAAGTACTTATCAAGGTTAATTACTTGCTTGTTAATTCTCTTCTTGTTACTTCTCTTTTTTTTCATTGCTCTCCCTTTGCTGCTGTAACACTGTGAATTTTCCTGTTGTGGGACTAATAAAGGATTATCTTATTTTATCTTATCTAACTTTTAGAGTGGCAATAGGCAGGAAGTATGTCAAATCTACATACGTCAATGTCTATTTTGTCAAACAATGTCTTTTTGACGTGTAAGTTGGCACACTGTCTCCAGAGTTTTTGTTAAGCATTTAACTAATATGACTTAATATGACAAGAAACACAGATCAAGCAAACACTGTAAAAAGTGGCTTGTCAGATCTACTTTAAAATTCACAATTACTTTTTTAAGTATTTTTTTTCAACTTTAAATTTACAAGTTTACTTGTTACCACATGAAGTATTTTTTTAAGTAGATCTGAGGAGCCACTTTTTACAGTAAAGGTACTGCAGTCAAGGAATGCTATTCCCTCTCTCTTAGATAATCTGCAAAATATGTGTCATTCAAATACACAGATTATAGATATAGGTACAGTCTCGGTTTGTGCAATCAGACAGTGTTATTTTGTTCTGTAGTTGTGCTTACATGTTTAGTCTAGGTGTCATGGTCATAGTGACATTTGATGGCACAGATATAAATGTATGTTGTGAATGTGTAGACACAATGGTGAAGTTGAAAAATGAAGAAATAATGAATAATTTTAAGAATAATGTACATTCATTTGGGGGGGCTAAATAAAATTTTATGGGAAATAAATTTAAATTTAAATTAAATTAAACATTCAAAAATGTACTTCATGTGGTAATAAACTATTTAAATAAACAAATTTTAAAATAAACAATTTAACTGATTTCATTCAACTAAATAAATTCTTTGTAGCATACCACGCAAAGCAAATATATAGATAAAAGCAATATTTTCCAAACCTCACAAAAACACTTTTTTTTCAATTTCTGCCCTTTTCCACCTTTTATAGTGTACCATATTCTCATACTGATGTGACACAAAAATGTAGATAGAAAATATAGGTAATACATAAAAATATATAAATATCATGCTGTGAATTCAACTTGTTTGAGACGCATATTTTTATTTTTTAACTAACAAGTTGATGATATTGATATGACTAATTAAACATGTGGAAACATAAAAAAAAAAAAAGGTAAAATTATATTGTATTGCAATTAATCAGCTGGCTGAGTATTTACCTATGTTAAGTATAAGTATTTTAAGTTTTTATGATAAGAGACTGAAATAGTGTGTCTGAAACTGTGCGGTGAAGTGTCCATTCCAGTTTGGGTTTATTTGCAGAGCAAACCTTATAATGCTAAATTTAATGAGAGCTCTCAGAATTAAAAGGTTCGATCCATGTTTAGTCCATTCCAGAAAAGACTATTTCCAAATACCTTATGATTGTAATGATCAAGGCAATGACTTCAATGACTTTGGTAGGATATAAAAGTTAATTGTTTTGTGCAAAAGATTTTAATGAATGTGTTTTTGTTGTTACACGAAGAAAAAAAATGCATTTGGGACGCTATTTTATTCAATGTGAACCTACAGTCATGTGATATTTTATTTTGTTGTACTGAAAGATGCTGACGAAGACAAGATTTTTTTTATCTTGTTCAGAAATATGTCACGCTGATTAATTTATTTACACTGTAAATGGGTTTTTCTCATGATATCCTTGTCATACCATACCCAGATATAATTTTGTAGTGAATTAAATAATTAAAATCACGTGATATCTCACCTATAGCTGCTCTCAGTTCTCTCAGCTGCCGACCATATCTGCCCTTAGTGAAACCCTGATATTTATCATCATCATCATCATCATCATCTTTACCTGAGAAAAGCAAAAGAACACCTGTAATGCAGAACGCTTTAGAAACACAATGAATGACATTTGAATGTAGTTTATGAATAAACTTTGGTTAGCATATAAATCAGATTTATGACAATGACATCAACTAAACCATCTAAAATATTACACATGAACTATAAAAGATTTTGCATATCTAGAAACATGATGTGTTCATCAAGTAAGAATCAGAAAGGAAATATACATACCGATGTTTGGGAGGGACCTGCTCCGAGAACCAAAACGTCCTTAAACAGAGAAGAAAAACAAAAACCATTTATGGTTCAAAGACACAATGTGCTGTGTTTTGAGTTCATGGCATTATATATCTTTTGCTTTAAGCTATGATTATAATACACTTTCTGTGTTACGCAAAGAAAGTAATTTAAAAAAGAAATACAGCTACATTATACATAATGTACTATATGTTAAGAGGCTGAAAATGGATAAAAACTATAAATATTTTTGAATAGTGTTGTGTTCACCAAGAAAAAGCAGAAAGGAGATACACCTACCAATGTCTCGTAGGAATCTAAATTGAGGGTCATATCCCCAGGGTCTCCGTCCTGTGAGCATCAGCTGTCTGTTTAACCGTTCTTGTATCCTATGGAGTCTGTTCTCTGTTCCAACATAGCAACACCCATAAATATTTAGTTTTTGTTGTTTCCTAATGAGAAGCCTATACAGTAATTCTGAGACTTTCTTGGTAGCTCTATGTATTTTCCCTTACTTGTGCCCTACCAACAAATGATAAGCATATTAATTACAAGTTATAATATAATATAATATAATATTTGACATGCAATGTTTGGAATGTTTTTTGGTATAATTCTTTTATTCTTTATTCTAATTATGTTGTGAGGTTGTTAGTGGTCCGTCTCATGTATGACATCAATTCTGGGCAAGAGTATCACTTGCGTTCGCCTGTCTGAGTGCCACTTCTCCCCATGTCTCTGCGTTTGTGTTTTTGTTCTGTGTTTGTGGTTTGGTATTGAGTGTTTTTTTTTTGTAAAGTCTTGTATCCACACAAGAGCTACTTTTATTGTTGCTGTACTGTTTTCCTCTCTCTGGCGGCCGCGTTCATTGCTGCTCTGCTACACTGCCCTTTATAAAGTTTTGGAAATGACATGGGGCTCACACAACCTTGGCTGTGAGACAACACAGTCCCAGACTCTGTTGAGCTACATTAGAGCCCCACATCTTTCAACATAGCACTCTGTCCTGCAACCACTGTTGCAGGAGCCTGGTGGGCTGGCAGTGCGATGGGGAGAGCGGAGGCCAGGTGTTACCTTTTTCTGATTCTGTTTCCCAGCCGTAGATGGCGACCAGAGGAACTTTAACTATTTCTAAAAGTTCCAGGCCTAGACCTAGCTGCTCCAGGGTTATACCCACTTTAGTCACACTAAAGCAATTTAACAGTCCAAAACACATCAGCATTTATTTTCAGTTCTACGCACTCAAACTACCCTTCTGATTAGCTGAAAGCAAACATATTACTGCCAAAAACAGTCATGAATATTGTAACTGAAGGTGCTGGCCTTATCCAAGAGGTCTTATATATAGTGACCCCAAATATGTGGAGCACATTTGCTCTCAAGAAAACGCTTCTTATTTCGACTTATTTTATGCTAATGTAGACAACATCCTTTCCAGCTAGGAGCATTGGCAATATCACCAGCCTCGCCACTGGATGGGAGTAGTCCTGTCCTTTGACACCAAATTTGGCTGACCTGATGTGATAGTCTGCACTGTGGTGTACCTTGCTGAAATGTCAAAGTAAACTTTATTATAATTTCCTCCAGGACACGATGCCACATTTAAACACAGCAGCAGATAACAGTGCAGAGAGACAATAAAAACAGTAAATAGAGACAATACTATTATAATTACACAGAAATGACACAGTACATTCCTCTGTAGAACAGAAAAACTACTGCTATACAACCATTGAGCAAAGGACAAGAAAATAGACCAGTTGTTGTCCACAGCAGCAATAATAGTTTTGCATGTATTTTTTATCATTACACTGATAATTGACAATAGTATTTAGTAATAAGACTACATAATAAACATGTAGACAATGTAGAGATTAAAGTGATTGTGCATACAAAGTAAGGTGAAATTTCACAGTGAAGTAGCTGAACGTGAAGTGAGTGTATAAGATAAAGTGCAGCAGATAAAATTTAGTAGTAAAGCAGCACTTCAATGAGTCTGCCTGAAGGAAGAAACTGTTCATGAGTCTGGAGGACTTGGCCAGGATGCTCCGTAGCCTTCTTCCAGATAGGAGTGGCATAAACAGCCTGTGGAATGGATTAGAGGGATACTTCCTGATGCTGCACATTTTTGTTTTACACTGTTAGGAGCTGATGTCCTTAATAGCAGGGAAGCTTGATTCAATGATGAATTGGGCAGTCTTCACTATCCGCTGCAGCGCTTTCTGCTTGAGTAGTGTAGAGGGGTGTGAGGCATCTGTGTCCTTCTGAAGTCTACAATTCAGAGAGAACTTGTGGTCCTTGCACCGAACTCCAGCTGCCTCACTTCCTCTCTTTAGGCTGTCTTATTGTTTGAGATGAGCTCTACAACTGCAGTGTGGCCAGCAAACTTGATGATATGATTACTGTGATGTTTGGCTTTGCTGTCATGGGTGAACAGGGAGTACATAAGAGGACTCAAGTGTTCAGAGTGATAGAGTGTGACAATCTGTTCTGGATCTTGTTTGTCTGAGGTGTGTTACTGAAGACATCTAGAACCCACTTGAGAGGTGAGCTGTTCACCAAAAAGAGCACAGAATTGTTTAAAGCACCTAGGAGCGCAGTGTCATTGATACCGGTAAGGTTATTCTTCCTCCTGTAGGCACTGGCAGTTTTAATGCCTTGCCACGTATGAAGTGCAGTGCATATGAAGCCTTGGCTTTCTTGATGCTAGTGGAAAGGCTGTTTCTATCTGCCCTGAATGCTGATCTGTCACCCAATGAGAAAGCAACATCACAGGCTTTGAGCAAGGAACGGACCTCAGTGCTCAGCCAGGGCTTCTGCTAAGGTTGTATAGTGACAGTTCTTGGGAGTTCTGCTCCTAGTGGAGGTCACTGTAAAGCATTTTAATTTCCTCTGATTTTTGGTAGTGTTGCATGGCTGTACTTGACTGTGTCAGTGTGACACAGTGACGTTGTCAGTGTGACTAAACATGAAAAACCACACAATAAACATAAATATATAAAATAGCACCGTGCTGTGACCCAGAAAAGATGCAGCATCTAGTTGCATGGCCAATTGCTCAATTGTCGTTTGAGCAGCAATATCAACTGAAACATAGTCTGATGGCTCAGAATATAGACAAGCTTCCATTTCCAGAAGAACTGTTAGGACTTCAGCTGGACAATCAACAGTGGTGTAGATTGTAGATTAGTAACTCTCCCACTCTCCACAGTGTAGCCTGATGGATAATTGACTTGGAAGCTTAACCTTTGTTAAATTCTCCTTTGAGCTGCCTCAAAGCTTTTGAAAAGGAGTCAGCATCCAGTTGGCTAAGAAGATCCAAGTGTACTGTTCTTTTTGTTAGACACATTAAAATGATTTCTTATTGCATTTCTGTGCATCTCCCAACCTTAACAAGCAACAGCCCGAAACAGTCTATCTCCAAGGAATAGAAAGCAGGTGGTCTGTGAAAGTCGAGATGGACAGGGGGCAGTTCTGCCATTTGTGCCTCTTTTGAAGAGGAATCACCTTCAGTCTCTTGATCAGTTGCATCCTCCCATGTTCCTTAGAATTGGAGACGGCAGATACAGAAGAATGCAGACTTTCTCAGCTCTGTTGAACCATCTGAGAATTCTGGACTGGGATCAGTGGCCAGGTGAGTGGGCTCTGGAGAAGGAACGGAAGGGTTTGTGTCCTTACAGTAACCTTGTAATGGTAAGACTCCATAGCCAGGTGAGGACAGTGATGAGTGAGAGGAGTCTGTCCACAATACAGTCTGGTTTGTCTGCAACGTATACATCCTTTCCAGCTGAGCTACAGTGAAACCAGGGAATGGGATGCAAGCATTTGGACAGCATAAAGGACTTGTTCTGGGTGATATCATCTTGGTCTAGATGAGTTTCTCCATTTCTGTCTTGTGTGTTTCAGCTCTCATAGGATCTTTCAGCAGATCTCTTTCTGTACTATATTTATGTAGGGGCCTTGCAGATGGGGCATGTTCTTCTGACACAGTTAAGGTGGAGTGAATTCTCCTCCTCTCAGTCTGCATGGTCTTAGCTTCAAGCAGCTTAAATGTCCTTTTTTAAAATCTGGGATTAATATCCATTGACCACACCACAACCCTCCACCACATTTCAGGAACAATAACTTCTTTCTTTATTTAACTGTTTTTCAAGTTCATAATAGTGCAGATATCATATGATGTAGGACAAGTGGTGGTGAAGCTGTGTACCCAGCCAACACACCCAAGTACAAAAACAATAAGTGGTGAAGAAAAAGGGGGAAAAAACAAAAACAAGACATAGCGGACAGATAAGCCAGACCGACACAAACAACAGACAAAATTGGTAAATATATCAAACAGATATTTAATGCTTTAATGGGTTTGCTGGATGTGGCATCTGTTGGCATTGCTACGATGCTTTTACAGAAGCAATCGTGCATGTAGATTCAGGTTACAGGGAATATGGAATAGGTTTATTTGCTACTGCAACATGTTATTGTATTAAACCATGACATGTCTTATGGCTATCTGCAAATGTTTGGGTGCCCATGGTCAAATTATGTTTTTGTAAGGGTTGGCTCCAGGGCTAGGCCCAAGGCCTCAACGACCCAAATGAGCCACACCTGCTCAGGGGGCTTTATAAGGGCTGGGAAGAAGACACACTTTGCTGAATCTTTGTTTCAGAGTTCTGACAAACAGACCGGCTGGTAATCTCGGGTAGAAGCTCTAGAGAATTTCTCTCGAGCTTCTTTCTCTCTGTCACTTCTCGAGCCTATCCCCCTTTCTTGAGTCGTGTCTTTCTTCCTTAAAAAAAATGAAATAGAGAAAGAACTAAATCTAAAGCTAGAGAAGGGACAAGTCTGTCCCTTTTTCCTTTTCGTTCTCCTTTGTGCGTTCTTTTCTGTTGGGAAAGTGGTTTTCAGTTAGCCTTTCCTCCGTGTTTGAGAGAGCCAGTCTTTCCCCTGGCGTCCTTTGTTTTGTTCCCGCCTAAGCCTTAGTAGGTGGGCTTTCATACTGCCTTTTGTTTTCCACCCATTTTCGGGCTTCCCTTTTAAGGTGAACCCTTCCTACACCATGTGACGCGGCCTCTATAGTGCAGTGGTAGAGCGCCGGTTTATCAACGCGGCGGCGTGGGTTCGAGCCCCGGCATCCGCTGTTTAATATATTATCTCAATAATACCTTCCAATTGCATAGAAGCTTAGCGTTTGGGTCCTGGCTCACCAGGCTGGCCTCTGAAATACCACCCAGATGGCCTTGGTTCTAATCCCACCTCTGGCGCCAAATTGCAGAAAGACTCAGCCAAAACTATGGACCCAGCTGAGCTCCCGGACTTGGATCAGGTTAAAATCGCCCTGGTTAACCAAGGGGCTGCGATTGGAAGGCATGAGCAGGCCTTGCAACAAATACTAACTCAGCTGCAGAGCCTCACTGCAACTCTACAGCAGGCTGTCCCTCCAGTGGTGGTTCTTGAGGCTCCTCCTCCTCCTGCTCCCAATCACCAGGTTGCTGAGGAAGCTGCTGCACGATCTGAGCCCCACCTACCGCCACCAGAGCGTTACTCTGGGGATCCTGGAGGATGTTGGGGTTTCCTCCTTCAGTGTTCCCTGGCTTTCAAGCAGCAGCCCTGCAGATTCCCAACAGAAAAGAATGCACGAAGGAGGAGAAAGGGACAAACTTGTCCCTTCTCTAGCTTTACATTTAGTCTTCTCTTTCTCGAGAAAGAGGATAGGTTCGAGAAGTGACAGAGAGAAAGAAGCTCAAGAGAAATTCTCTAGAGCTTCTACCCGAGATTACTGGCCGGTCTGTTTGCCAGAACTCTGAAACAAAGACTCAGCAAAGTGTGTCTTCTTCCCAGCCCTTATAAAGCCCCCTGAGCAGGTGTAGCTCATTTGGGTCGTTGACTCCCCCTGGTGGCTGGCGGTGGCCTAGCCCTGGAGCCAACCCTTACAGTTTTATTTTTTTTCCAATATTAAAAGCCTTGCACTTGCAGAAAAATGTCATCTTTAAGTTTGTTCCTTGTACAACAAATTTTCACTTCACCAATCAATAAAATAATTTGACCAAGGATTTCCAAACTCTTCCATGTGACTGTATACATAATGCTGAAAAAGCTTTAGGTTTTAGTTAGATTGTCAGTGCTGTGGTTGTCTTTTGTCAGTCACTCAGCTGCAGTTCCTTTAGCCTTTTTTATTTTGTTTAGAAGCTACATTTTACCCCACCATTTTGAAGGTGTGATGCCACCCCTGTGTCTGAATTATTCTGGACTTTGGTAGCAGTTTATTAGCAGTAACACTTTATTAACAACTCTTTATTATTAACTCTAGCCTACTAGTCTCGGTTACTAATTTAAAAGCATAGTGTAACAGGCATTAATTCTATCATAGCTGTACTCATTTCAGCCTTTGTTAAATTGTGTTGTGGCATGATTGATAATCGTATTTCATGCTTTTTAATCCCTCAAACTTTTAAAGACCTCAAATAAAATAATACATTTTTAAAAGAATAATATTTATGATAAATCTTGAAGAAAATGCAACTTTAATAAACACTTTAAATATATTAGAGTGAAATGGATTCATACTGCACAGGTCAGAGAGCACATGGCAGATATCAGAGACTTACCAGAGAGATGCTCTGACTGCAGTTGCGTTCCATTTAGGACTATGCGGTTTCTCCTCCTCACATGATCTTGAGTAGAAACATTAGTCTGGTTCTCAGCATTGTCACTCCCTTGGTGATTGAATGTTCCTGTATGAACCAACTCGTAGATGTTCTCAACAGAGCGACGGTTAGAGAGCAAGTTCCATACACTGTTCCGTGTGTGTTCATCTGAGGAAAATATAGGCACACAAGGAGTTCATATCAAGGTAAAATGTGTAAACATAAAATATTATTTTCATATTCCTTCTTACTGTACTGCAATTACATAATTTAGTGTGAAATTCTATTTGTTATCTCCACCACTAACGTTAGTGTTCAACCCACACTGAAGTCATGGTTCTGTGTATCCCTGTTTATTGTACCTAGTGATGTAACAAAATTGTACCATATGGAAATCTGGCTTTTTGACTGGACAACAATAACAATGCAGTAAGACCCAATGTAAAAACATAAAATCCATATAAAGCCAAAGTCATTGTTATTCGGCGTCTTTATATAATTTATCAGTGTCATACAGTATGAAATAACCTACACCTCATAATCATGGGGCAAACTTCTTTAAATCTATGAATGACTGAAACGATTAATGATGGTATGATTTACAGACATTCTGTTTTTATTTGTTATTGGTTTTGAAAATGGTTTAAAATAACACATTCTTCTCTCTCAGGGTATTTAATGTTTGATAGAGATGGACTAATTTATTAACTGTTTCATTTTTTTCAAACAGTATATTCCTAATATTGAAATGTTTTTTGTTTTGTGAGTACATGCCTCCTGCCTTTTTCTGTTCTGGCTCATCTTCAATAAGACATAAATGTTGCACTTTTAAGGTGTGGTGCTGTCTGTGTAAAAGGAGAGAGACAGAGAGTTATCTTTTCTCATACTTGTGTGATACTTGGTACATGTTTGAATTTCCTGTCAAATTTCATTTCAGTGTTTGTATTATTGTAAGCATGTGGAAATCATTGAGTGTGCTCTCCATTACAATGAGCTGCATTACAAGAGCTGCATTCTACATTAATGTGTGTCTGTAATCTTTAGGCCTTCATGTAATTCTGTTATTGCTGAATCAGGGGGACTAATGTGAGCATTGTGAGGAACAGTCTTATTGTATACCACCCACACAGACCCCTTAATAGCCCAGAGAGGCTCAGCAAAAGCACAACAGGCCAATATCTTCCCAGAATTATCAGTTACATTTTCTATGAATCAGGTATCAATAATGCCGTATAAATGCATTCATAAAGCTCTATAAAGCATTCACAATGCTTTATAATGGTTGATTATAAGCCTTTATCTGTACATAAATGTTCAAAATCACACATATAAAATGTTATAACACCACAGTATAAGGCTTTGTAGCACAAAGTGGGCAGAGCCTGAAAGACACCAGGTGCTGCTAGGTCAGGCTTAGCAATGGGTCCTGGAGATGGTGTTGTGGTACTGTGCTGAGAGGCCGCAAATGGCGAAATCAAGGAGAAAATCATGCAGATGAAAGTATGTGCAGAACTTTTTGAGGGAGCAGGTTTTCCAGATTCTCTTGAAGTCTTGAAAACTTGTTTTGTTAAGTTAATTTTATTTAAAAATATCAGGCTAAAAGAAATGTTGTCCAAGCAGTCTAATGCTCATTAGGTTATTGAAAAAAGCATTAAATTTATTTTTATGTTTGTAGATACATTTTGGATACAGTAAATGGCATTGAGATTGTGTCAGTTACTTTTGTTTTGAGTAAACTTTTAAGAACGTAACATCAGAGAATCTGTTATACTGGAAAAATTCAATTTGTTTGAAAAAAATGAAAGAATAGTTTCTTTTTTTTGTCAATAAATGAACCCTTGTTTAAAGAACAAACTAGCAAATCTGGTATTCTGCTGTTTTAACCTTCTTACTTAGGGAATCTCACTTAATGTCTTTGATAAGTTGGTATGTGCTTTTATTAGCGTGAATTGCTTTATAGAGCTGATCAATATCATCACTTTACCTAAAGTCTGTAAAGAAAGCTTGTAGGTTTTTGTTAAATGTTATGTGCACTTACAAAATCATTTTCATTTTGAAGATAGTGAGGAACATCAGAGAGTATGCAAGTCAGAGTAGAACAGGAAAAATATGTATTATAATGCATTATGTCACTTTGTGCCAAGAAACCTTATACTGTGGTATTATAACATTTTTACGTATGTGACATTTATGTACAGTTACAAAAGCTTATATTAACCATTATAAAGCATTATGAATGCTTTATATAGCTTTATGAATGCACTAGTACTATTTGGGTGGTGGATCATTCTCAGCACTGCAGTAACACTGACGTGGTGATGGTGTGTTAGTGTGTGTTGTGCTGGTCTAAGTGGATCAGACACAGCAGTGCTGCTATATAGTTCCTTACCTATATAGTAAGTGGAGCTGATAAAATGGACAATGAGCGTGGAAACAATGTCATAATGTTATGCCTGATGGGTGTATACTGCATTATTGATGCCTAATTTATAGAAAGTGTTACTGAATTATCTTCAAAAGAATGTAAGGCTACATAATATACCAGCTTCTAATACATCTTAGTAGTATGTATCACAAAATGAAGTTTACAAGCATGTGAGAAGAATTTAGACTCACTGGACAAATGGTGCATCAAGCGCCTCCGAATAGTTCTTCTAAAAGTTTGGACTCTTTCCCTGCGTAGTAGGGCTTCAGTAATCCCATTTCCAGCTTGCCTCGTGTTAGTCACATTATGGTTGTATATCTGCAGATTACTGTGGACACCCTTAGCGGCAAACTCACAGAGGTTCTGAAGAGAGATGTCTCTGGACAGGAGTAAGTCTAATTCATATATAGGCAGGTCTGGAACAGACACAGGGAAGACAATGTTCATCAAGTATATCAAAGTACATCATAATATACACTATATTTCTAAAAGTATTCGCTCGTGCATATGACATTGAGACCCCATTCCTAATCCATAGGGCTTAATATGATGTCGGCCCACCCTTTGCAGCTATAACAGCTTAAACTCTTCTGGGAAGGCTTTCCACAAGGTTTAGGAGTGTTTATGGGAATTTTTGACCTTCTTCCAGAAGCGCATTTGTGAGGTCAGACACTGATGTTGGACGAGAAGGCCTGGCTCGCAGTCTCCGCTCTAATTCATCCCAAAGGTGTTTCTATCGGGTTGAGGTCAGGACTCTGTGCAGGCCAGTCAAGTTCTTCCACACCAAACTCGCTCATCCATGTCTTTATGGACCTTGCTTTGTGCACTGGTGCGCAGTCATGTTGGAACAGGAAGGGGCCGTCTCTGAACTGTTCCCACAAAGTTGGGAGCATGAAATTGTCCAAAATCTCTTGGTGCTGAAGCATTAAGAGTTCCTTTCACTGGAACTAAGGGGCCGAGCCCAACTCCTGAAAAACAACCCCACACCATAATCCCCCTCCAGAAGAAGAAGCTCTGAACGCACTGTTCTTGAGCTAATCTGAAGGCCACATGAAGTTTGAAGGTCGGTAGCGATTGACTCTGCAGAAAGTTGGTGACCTCTGCGCACTATGGCCCTCAGCATCCGCTGACCCCGCTCTGTCATTTTACGTGGCCGACCACTTCGTGGCTGAGTTGCTGTCGTTCCCAATCGCTTCCACTTTGTTATAATACCACTGACAGTCGACTGTGGAATATTTAGTAGTGAGGAAATTTCACGACTGGACTTGTTGCACAGGTGGCATCCGATCACAGTACCACGCTGGAATTCACTGAGCTCCTGAGAGTGACCCATTCTTTCACTAATGTCTGTAGAAGCAGTCTGCAGGCCTAGGTGCTCGGTTTTATACACCTGTGGCCATGGAAGTGATTGAAACACCTGAATTCAATGATTTGGATGGGTGAGTGAATACTTTTGGAAATAGTGTATATTGTACTGCATATACATACTTGTATAATATACATTCATTTTGTAATTTAATTTGTATTGCAGTACTTATGGCAAACCAAAACTGGTGCTCTTTCACAACATGCAGGCCAGAGACAGCTGTATGGTAAAGATTATCAAAGAAACAAAAATGAGTGCAATTTGATATCCTTTGAATACCATATGCTGAGCATCATATTTGTTATTTGAAAAGACGAAATGTGTATTTAAATCTTGTCAATGCAAAATTATTCAGAAAGTATACACACAGAGCATGCAGAATCCATCCTTACCACCAGATACAGACCACATAGGTTTACTGATTCTTCAGATGGCTAATTAGAAAGATCTCCTTTAGGTAACAGAAATGTCAGCACCCAAGAACATGCTAGAAAACCATGTCATGGGGGAGTAGGTTGCCAGATGTTTGGATTTAAAGCAAACAAAGATAATTCTTAAATGGTAGAGTGAGAATCACACTGAACACTCTCTCTACCAGTTAAGATGATTTACACGCTTTAAAAATATGGTTGTTTAAAGGTTCTTTAATTAAGGCAATGCTTCTGTTTAGAACCATGAGTTCCATATAGAACAATTTCATGCTTAAATGGTTCTTAGCATGATGAAATGGTTCTTCAAATTGGTGGAGAATATGGTTTAAATGGTTCTATATAGTACCAAAAAGAGTTTTGCTGTTGTTACGATACCACCCTGTATCTTGCTGAACATTATTAGCCTGCTTTGTGTGTGTGTATAGATACACTCAACATCAGGTCCAGTCCTGGAGGGCTCATGTCCAGCACAGTTTGGTAGTTCCTCTACTTAAACACACTCACTAAACCTGGCAATTAGCAAATGAGCTGAATCAGGAGTGTTTAATCATTACCAAAGTGTGCTGGATTCCGGCCCTCCAGGACAAGAGGCGTACACCCCTTCTCTACATAATGCTGTCGACACTGAAATCTTCCTTGATCTGCTGCTTTCCTGCACTCTTTCCTTCTTCCTTTCTTGTGTATGTGGCGGAGTTAGTGAAGTGTTTTTGGAGTTGTTGTTTTAAGTTTGTTTGTGTTTAACTCTGCTTTTGAATCTATGCCATTCACTAACATCTGTTGTTACACACACATACACTAGTAGTGATATGAAAGTAAGAGTTATAGTAGACCAATAAGAGTGAGGACACGTTTGAGTGGGACAGTTTAGTAAACCACAGTAATGTATAAAACTTGTTGTTTGTTTAGATACATTTATTTGTGTCACATCCAGTGTAAAATAACACAGATTACCAGATCACCACGCATGCTGCGCCACATCTGGTGTGAATTCAGCGTAAGTATGTTTCATGTTGACAGGCAATAATACTCTCATTAGCATATTTTAGTATATTGGACCATGATGTGTTCAAATTTACTCTTAAATTTCAAAACTAAGCTAGTACGTAGTGCCCCATGTCACTTTTTCCGGATGTATCGAGAAGGCTGTGCTTTCAATGAAAAAATATGAACTCTGCACTATAGTTACACATTTGATACAAATCAGTCTATGAACATAAATTGCCGTCCAAGAGGAGTTAACCATGCAAAAACACATTTTTAAGTGCAGATGGTCGTTACATAAGTTAAATATAATGAGCACTTTTCTGTTAAGAAACAGATAGAACTAAGGATGATGTGAAACTGTTTATTGCCCTTTTTATTACCCAAAATCTGACTCTGTACATCTTTAATATCTGTACATTTGAATGGATCAACCGTTAGGGAGTGCTACTAATGTTTCCATCATTTACAAGAAATGTACCTCTTACTGTTTATTTCAGGAGATAATTGGGATCATATTTTGCAATTCTACAACTATTTATTTAAAAGGCCATTTTTTCACAATCTTTAATTTAAATATTTAATGTAATTTAATTTAAATCTACATTTACGTCTAAATGTTAGCCTTTTACATCTAAATGTTAGCCTAGAAATTAGCCTTAAATTTCCATAAGTCTAAAGCTAAATTGTTCTCTGAAAAGTTGTTCTTAACTTAAAAATGCAAATAGTGACTTCATAATCCTGACAGTCAGTAACTTATAATCAGTCAGAATCGTTCATACACACAGCACATCAGTTCATTACACTCTCAGAATCTCTCACTTCCTCTGAAAGTTTTGCACTACAGTTATTTAAGTCCTTTTGATATAATGGCTAATATTCTATTGCCTTCTTTTCCTATCTTTATGTATCATTCATAATTTACCTGCCACCCTATTTTTCTTATTACTAATCTCACTCACAGACAAAAATGTGTTCTCGTGATTTCCTGAATTTTACTTTCACTTAGGTATTGGCTGTTTTGTCTCAAACAAATCTTACACTTACCTCCAAGGCTTGGGAGAATCACACCAAGCACTAAGAAAGCACAAAGCAAGGCTGATTTCTTCATTGTAAGTGGCTCAGGGTCCTCAGTCGATTATCTTTTAAATAGCTTTGTTGTAAGGAACCAGTGTCAATACAGACCGTTGCTTCTGTGAAACTGGGCGAATTCAGTATAAGGAAGAGTGCATGTTATTGTACACCACCCACGAGAGTAGCCAATCAGGTTTTCTAATGTCACCTGTCTCTGGGCAGATCCTAAATTAGGTTAAGATCAGACCACTCACAGAGAACAACAGCCCTGAGCTTCACTGTAAATGAAAAAAGAGAGAAACTTTATAGCTCGTGAGGCATTTAAGCCCTGAACAACGTCTCACAGGCTGTCGCGCCTTCTAGGCTGCAGACCCCCCTTGCTGGAACACATCCAAGCTTCGCAAGAAGCTGTAATCCCGCCTCCTCCAGGAACACAGCCAATCAAATCGCATCAAGGAACTTGGTGCGAGTTTGAAGACTTTTTTTTCAAACAAGTTTCCGTTTCAGTGCGCTCATCTGCAGTTGGCGATTCTACAGCTTTTACAGGATCGTGTGTGGAAGCAGCACAGAACAGGTAATCTTTGCTTAATAACTGGGCTAGTTTAATGTAGTCATTCCCTAAGTTTATTCTACCAAACAAACAAAAGAAAAAACAATTATTATGGAGACTCTCAAAGTAGAGAAATGCTGTTATAAGTTTTAATATAAGTTTAAATATAAGTTCTCATCAGGTTTTGTAGCAGTATTAGGAGCTTTGTAATCTAGTGCAGGTGCTGCCTCTCAGACTACCTTGCAGGAAGACTTGTGTTTGTTAGATATTAGCTAGATGATGCATGCACTAAGGTTTATGTAGTTAAACTGGAGAATGATGAAACCGGTGTTGTTAGCGGTCATTAAGATTTATACTCAAACTTTGTCCCACTTCAGACAATACTGAATGGCACATTAGCAGTGTGCTGTATAGACTCTCAAAGAACATCTTCAATTCCTGACAGGCTGGTAAATAAACAGGCCTATTAGCCTCTTCTCCCACAATGTTTATCAGGCAAGTCTGTGTCATTACATTTATAACTGTGGCTGTTATTCTTACAAGATGTTATAAGGTGATTTCTTTTTTAAGGTAGGTTATTTGCCAGTGGGCCCATGAAGAGAGGCATCACACAGAGAAATGTAAGGCTAGTGCATTAGCAGCCTCAGAGGCAAAAAAGAGCACCAGTGTCTTTAAGGCTGTTGACAGTATATGTCTGTTTGTCAGGTTATTGTATAAGACTGAACAAGAGTGAGCTAGGTGCTTGTCAGGCTAGACAGTCTTCACAGCCTCAGAGGCAGATAAAATGTTGATGCTTCTTAGCCTGTCAACAAAGCAAGACATTATTGCAAGCTACTTATGTTACTGCGCTTTGTTTCAGACTGAAGAAGGATGAGCAAGATTCCTGTTAGGCTTGCTAGTATTAATAGCCTTAGAAACTAGAAAAAAATGTTTATGCCTCCAAAGGCAGGCAAGACAAAGCGTTCTTCCAGGCTGTTTATCAGTTATTATGCCTTGCATCAGACTGAAGAAGGGTGAGCCAGATTGCTGTCAGGCTAGCTTGTATAGACTTCTCAGGCTGTTTACACTAAGTAGCCTGACAGGAGCTCATCTGTCTTTGATCTTAAAGACAAATACACAAGTGGCCTGCAAGAAGGTCTTGTCTTGTTAACAGCCTCAGAGGCATAAAAGTACCTGCCTCTGAGGCCACAAAAACAAGCTTGCCTGATAGGAATTTGGCTCACCCTTCTTCAGTCTGATGCAAGGCACAATAACAAATAAACAGCCTGGAAGGAGACTTTGTCTTAAACGCTGTCTTAGAGGCATACATGTAACAAGGTACCTAAGGTACTCAATAAAAAATTACAAGGTATGCCTGATAGAATTGCAGCTCTACTATTATGTCATTCTTCTCTGTCTGTCACATTATTGTTGGAGTGAGAATATGATTATTAAAGGCACTACTGTCATTCTCACTGTTACCTGAACGTGTTACTGCCTTTCACAATACATTGAAGCGTAATTATTGCTATTACCTTGACTAATGTTTATAACATTTTATTTTTCAGAGTACGATGGATGAGTTTTGGGTCAAGGCTGTAAATGGAAAAAATCCGTAAAGACAAAGATCCTCGAATTCAACGAAGCATTTAAGTAATGAAGAATGAAACACAAGACACTTTTATGAAGAATCATTTGATGTGTGTAAAAAACGAGAACAAGGGCAACTTTACTTACAGGAAGAACAGACCAAATGTTATACAGTGGAGGTGTGAATGTTCCAACCATTCAACTCGCGCAAATTCTTGCCCAGCTTATGTGTCATTTCAGCTTTGCTTGAACACAGTGGCCATGATCTTAATAATCACAAGGAGAAATCCATCAGCCATACTGATGAAGGCCTACACCAGCTTATTTATGAGCGGTTGTTACAAGGGCTTCCCAATGGTGCTATTCTGTTAAAAACTGTTGAATATGCAACCAAACATGGGAAATCAAATCTCTTGGATAAAGGATATTATGTCACACCTCAGGACATCAGACACATCAGAAAGAGCTTTAATTTGGAGCAACGAATGGATGGCAATGACTGCATCTCTGTGGACAAATTGATCAAATCAGATTTACAGGACAGCATTCTTCATTATCAACCATTGTCACATGCTGAGAAACAGCCACTCGTGATTGTGTATAGTTCTCCTTGGCAGTTAGAACAATGCAAGAAATTTGGACCTACCATCATATTTTTGGATGCAACTTATAAAGGTGTCACGCAGTATGGTTTCGCTTTTTATGCTGTACTGGTAAAGAAGTCAGACGGTCAAGGGATACCAGTTTCTTTTTTCATTGTAAGTGAGGAGTCTTCAGGCATACTAAAAGTTTGCCTTCAGAAGCTGCATGAGGCTGCAGGTCGTTTTACACCAAGGTAATTCAGTGGCAGTCTTTTTTTTTTATAAATCAGTGCCCATAATTGTGAATATGGTAACCATATTTGAATATGTCTTGCAGATGTGTGATGGTTGACCGTGACATGAAAGAAATAAAGGCAATTAAAGGGGTCTTCCCAAACTCTGCAGTGTTACTTTGCTGGTTTCATGTGCTACAAGTAAGTAATGGATTTTTAATAAATGTTAAGATACTTAACATGCTTGAAAATATTGTCTGACAGATTAATCAATAAAAATATGTACTTCAAGAATTTAAAATGTTGTTCCATGAAAAGAGCAGCTTATAAAAATATTACTTTAAAATCTGTACTTCATTTTATTACAGGCTGTACATTGTTGGTTAATAAGACAAGGTGGAGGAAATCTTAGAGATCCATCAGTAAGGAACACTCTGATAAGAGGAATGGTGTCTCTGAAGCAGTGCAAAACAGTAAGTTTATTAATAAGATAATAGGATAATAATAGATTTAATAAGAAAACAAGAGCCTAAGAACATTCTCTTAAATAGGGTGTGCATACAGTGTCCTATAGCTTTAATTTTTGGAAAAGTGTCCTTAAATGAAAAATTAATGTTTCAGATCAGTTTTACTACTCAAGCAGTGTGATACAATAGTCTTTTATGACTGTCATCAGAGATTACAGAATAGGTGTGAACACCAGAAGAGCCCTGAGGTTGTATGTTACTGCAATTCATAATTGTAGTTTGTTTTTTGTTCCTGTTAAGCCCAATGGGTTTACTTAAATGCAACATTATTTTTTAATGTGGTCTTGTTATATGTCCTAGGAGATGGAGTTCCAAGAGGAGTCCTTAAAGGTTCTGGCAGACATCAAGAATGAGACAAAAAGTGCTCGTGTGTGTGACTACCTCAAGGAACATTGGCTTAAAAATGGTGTCATGTGGTCAAACTTTGGCCGCCAAGTTTACCATCACCACAGTGAGACCAACAATGTAGTGGAAAGGTAAATTGAATCATAAATACGTAAGCCTGCTTTTTTTTTGATGTTCATAGTATATTTAGTATTGTGCACACAAAGTTGGTGTTATTAGGGAATTCCATTGATTTTTAAAATTTTCTGCATATTTCAATGGTTGAGATGTAAACAGAGAGATTCAGAGTGGTTTGGTGTGAAATGGTTCAGATGTCTTTACAGTGGTGGTGATAGGAACCAGGGGTCGCCATGACTACAAGACAAATATAGACATTTTATTTACTATCCAGAACCACCAGTGAACCTACACGAGTCTTCTGAGTTTATATGGAATGTTGATGATGGGGAAAGGAGTGGTCAATCTGGAAAAAATTCAGTTGGATTTAGGACTATTTTGCCCTAGAACATGGCACATATCCCTCTACCATGAATGCAATGGAAATATAAATGTTTTAAGCCAAAAACCTCTGACAACACTATTGGGAAAACAATTTCCTAGGCATCAGGCAACATATTCATAAACACTTTATATAGTTTTTAGATGCCTCAAACATTCAGATGTCTGGTTCCTATCACCACCACTGTGAACAAGTCTGACTCTGGAACAGAGCCCATGAAGCCACACTGAATGATTTTGTTTACATCTTAATGATTTAATCATGCAGAAATCACCTGATGTCCTTGTCCATTGTAAAAAAAAATAGTAGTAGAATCAGTTTTCTGCCTGTTTTTAATATTGATGCAGCTATGTGTTGGAATAATAATATTTTTATATTCATAGATTTTTTTTTGGAATGAAGTATAACTTCCTTGCTGGATATGCCAATAAAAGAGTGGACGATCTTCTTGTTCTTAACAACCATGTTGTTAGATATTACAGGTTAGTTATACACCACGGCATCTGTGATATTTTTAAGGGACATGTGGTGAATGAAAAAAGGCAAATTTAGAAGACAGACTGCTAATATCTCTTCATTTCTATTTGTCAGTCACCTAGATGCTTTGAAGGCAGTGGGATGTTTGAAAGTGAAGACTTCAGATGCAATCTGGCAGCTGAGAGGATGAAATCAAGTGGACTTGACCAGGGTGTCATCTGGCAGTGTGAGGGAATTTTCAGTGTGCCCTCTGAAACAGTACCTGGTCGAATGTATGTGGTAGATTTAGTGTACACTACATGCACTTGTGATTATGCAAACCCTGGCAACATGTGCAAACATATATTACTTGCA